ATGACACACGGATGTCTGCTCAAAACGTTGCTACTGCTGCTAGAGCCGCTAAAACCCACGTTACATCGCACTGGATGCGCTAAATCAGGAGAGCTAGAATAGGCTGTGTTGCAGCCCAGATGTGGCTGCTAGCACCGCTGTGAGTAGATTAATGTGTTGCAGAATGGATGATGGCATGACATGTACTCTTAAAAATAAAACTGCCAGAAAGGGTTCTTTGGAGCGATGCCATAGTGGAGCCACTTTCCCCGAAAGTAGCTTTCAGTGGATGGTTTCGGAAGAACTATTGTTGTAAACCTTTTCACGGTTTGAAGAACCACCACGTCATGGAAAGTATTTCCTAGAACTGTGTGTCCAAGCTTAGAGCCATAAGGATACTGCATTTTTTAAGAGTATAGTAAGGCCAGAAGATGGCAACAGTACAACACTGGCTGAGCCTCTGACCACAACTAGAACTAGTGGTGACATAGAGTAGTAGGCATGCCGACTAATGTATCCACTAGTTAGTACGTATAGTGAAGAGTTAGGCAGGTTTGGTTTCAACACTCAACAAGGCCAAGAATCTGTTACTTTCACAGAAAAGGGCTGTTTGATTGACATGCAAACTGACCAATGATAGACTTTTTTTTTCGGTCACACCAGAATGTAAATTGTATGTCGATGTGTCAATTGCTATTTTTTAAACTAATACTTTGTGGGGCTCCCGAGTGGCGCACCCGTCTAAGCGTAGGCCCTATCATCAGGAGATCGTGAGTTCGATCCCCGGTGATGCTACAGCCATCCGTAGCCGGGAGTCCAAGAGAGCACAATTGGCTTCACTCTCTCTGGGTGGGTAGGATGGCCCCTCCCTCTCCCCCCATCACTTAACGCGATGCTAGTCAGCGCAGGCGTCTGTTAGCTGACGTAACAGATCTGGCGGTTGGCGCTTTCCTCCGAGTGCGTTCGGCTGTCCAATGACGTTGTGTGAGCGGCAGTTCGAAAAGAAGCGTTGACACTTCACAGGTCTCGGAGGAAGCCTGTGTTAGCCTTCGCCCTCCTAGCATTGATAGTATCGTGGGATTGGGGGAGTCCTAACTAGCGGGTGGAATTGGCGACCACTAAATTGGGGAGATAATTGGGTTAAAATAAAAAAAAAATTAATAAATAATACTTTGTTAAGAGCTCACTAAGGTGACGTTAGCTAGTCATTAAGCAAGTGCTAAAGTTATTAGCATGTATGCATGCTAGCATGCACAGAATGAGTGTTTGGTTTACACTTTAACACTTGAGACAGAAAAATGTAAGCTTTGTTTGATTCTACACAGAAAAGTCCACTTTCAGCTCTTACAGTAATGTTGTGGTAGTTTTTAAAGCAAGATCTAGTTCAAAGACTAGGAAAACCTCCTTTTGATGATGTATTCTGAAGGTGGAAAGAGAACTACAGTTACTTTGGAGTGGGTGTTTTAGAGGAGGAGTGTTGGGATGCCTTTTTTTTCAAATCTTTAGCCAGCAAATAAATGAAGTCATTTCATTTGAACTAACAAATGAAGCTAACTTCATGTCTGTTTGGTTTCTTTTTTGTGCCTGAAAGGTCAAAAAACTTGTTTCTTTGATCCACTTTGTGCTGAATTAAGGTAAAATTGCTGATTTCTCAAAGATTTTATTCAACAACTGAGGTAAACGTTTCACTGATGCTAGCTTGGTTGTATTTAATAGCCTATAGATCAGGGGTTAGTCTAACAGTTAGGATTGGATGACACCACAGGGATTTACAGTGGTTGTGTGGTGGGTTTGCATAATGCATGATGGGTAATGTAGTGAGAAAACATTGATAAAGAAAGCAATGTCAAACTAATAAGGCTGACAAATATATTGTTGCACTACAAACACAACAAATTAGATTTAAAATCATAGTTTTAGGCCAGATTGCCAATCCAGGTAGCCGCGTAGCCAAATTCGACGCGTTAGACTTGCAGTACTGCAGTGGCTAAAATGTTATGTTCATTAAATCCTACGTGTATTTATTTTTTTTTTTATGTCCAGCTGTCTAGTGTTCCAGCTGTCGCCTGCTCTGTTAAACAGACAAAAGTAAAGACCAAATTGTGGTATCAAGATGGCTGCCAGTGCTGTTTTTAGTGAAGCAACCAAGTTTGAAATTGTTTAGACCATTTTTCTTTCAATTTTTGTTTGACAAAATGTGTACAATGTGTATTTCAAACAGCTTGTTTTCCTTCAGGAAGCTTCTCTTAGCAAGGCGTTTTGTCTGACGCCAGTGCCGCAGTGCCAGCACGTGTGACACGGATGGGTTTGCAGCACGGCCTACGCTTCGGGGCAAATTTCAAAACACAGATGGTCGCTCTTGCTGGCAGAGGGTTAGAATAGCCTGGGGAGAGAAAACGTTTGTGTACGTTTCAGCGCAAAAGAAGAGTGAGAGAAATACGAGTGACAGCCGTCGGCCGGGATTGAACATACAAACAACAAGACGTAATGAAAAAGACAGCGCTGCAGATAGAACTCCACACATGCAACACACAGTATCACTCTGAATGTAGAGGTACAGCACAGTGTATATAAAGTTGCACTGCAGATATATGTATGTATGTATGAAGACAAGTAACATAACCTTTATGAAGAGAATGTGCATGGAATGGCATGCACAGTTACAATACTGTAAAATGCCCTTCATCTAATTTCTAATGGTCATTATGTATTTCCAAATCCATAATTTTAAAAAATTATTGAACAGTGCCGAGGTAATGGAATTCTTAACAACTGTGTGAGACCTGGTAGACCACCAAAACTGTCCCTGTGTGATAAACAGCACTTAAAGCTTTTATCTGTTGCGAGACAGGAGAAAATCTGTTGTTCTCAGAGCAGTGAGCTGGCGACTCAAGAGCCCAAAATCTTTAAATGAGTTTGGGATTATTTGGATTGTGAGAAGCAGAAAATGCAATCAACTTCTAGGACTGAACTTTGGAGGTGTGGGAAAATATCCCTGCAGATTTCTTGCAAAAACTGAGAATGAAAGCTGGAAGCGTGGACGCTAAATACTGAAAAAATTATATTATTTTCTGCTAAGTATGTTCCAGATATTTGCACTTAATGGCCATTTTGACTGGAAATTCAATAAAAGATGAGGAGTTTTGCACAGTACTGCACCTTACAAATATCAGCAGTACATTCAAATTCAAAACCAACCTACAAACACAAATGTGGGTTTGTTTAAGGTGTGGAGTCTGCACTTGCTTCATCAAGCCATAATGAAATAATATAAAGTGTAAGAAATAATTCAGGATAATGTAAGATGAGGCATTTTTAAGGTTGTGTATACTGTGATGGAGCATGATCGTAGGTAAGGAACAAAGCCTGTTAGTTTCCACTATACAAACATGATTCATAGACTTGGTATTGTCAGTTAGCATCCCATTCAGGCAAAATGAGGCTTTTGATCTGATTTGAAGCCTGGGTGCGGCTGTATAAAGAGGATAAAGAATGTCCCTATGCTGTTTGTTAATTAGTATTGATGACTCTCTTTATATTGACTAGAAAACAAGGCTAAGCTGCATTGCCGTGAGGTCAACACACACACACACACACATATGGAGACTAATTCAATCAGCACACAGCCAGCCCTCCATTTCACTAACACAATTAGAGATTCTGCAGTGCTGGATGGAGCTTGGGATTGACCGTAATGGCCGCCGAAATGAAAGTGACCGTCTGATTACATGCAGCTCTAGTAGCGGCTCTAAGAATTAGATTACAGTCAAAATCTGCACTCTAATCATGTTTATATCACTGTGTTTGTCTATTTTGTGTCTAATCAAGCCTTCTATTTATGGCTTAGTGTTTACTTGATGCTGTCGCTTTTACTTTAGTATTTTTGTAGATAAGAGTTTCCCTTACAGTGTCAAAAACCACATAAGCATATGTGATGAAATATAAACGTGCATAATACAGTAATACAGTAAAATTGTATACCTGGCTTTCACTTAAGTTTGGAACATTTTGAACTGGATCTTTTTTATGGTTTAACCACCAGTGTGTTTTTTAAAGTGTTACATTTTGTTTACTACTCAATGTGTTTATAGTATATATAGATTTTACAGCCTTTACAGTGTTGGATATGTTTTCCAATGTTAGATTGGTGTTTTGCAGTGTTAGACTGGTGGTTATACAGTGTTTACAGTGTTTGACTAGCATTTACAGTGTTTGACCAGTGATTTTACAGTGTGTACAGAGTTAGGCCAGTGTTTTTACAGTGTTTACAGTGTTAAATCAGTGTTTACAGGGTTAGACCAGTGTACAGTGTTTACAGTGTTAGACTGGCAGTTTCACAGTTTTCACAGAGTTAGACCAGTGATTTTACAGCTTTTACAGAGTTAGACCAGTGGTTTTACAGTGCTTGTACAGTGTTAGTTCAGGGATGTCCAGTCTCATCCGCAAAGAGTGGGTGTGACTACAGGTTTTCATTCCAATCTAGCAGCAATACAGCTGATTTCACTTGTTTAATCAGTTAGTCTTAGTCTTCAAGCAACTGATAATGTGTGTTCCTGCTTTGTCAGAATGAAAATCTACAGGCACACTGGCCCTTTGTGAATAAGATAGCAGTGTTTGACCAGTGTTTGACCAATGTAACTGACAGTATTAGACCTGTGTTTTTACAGTGTTAGACTGTGGTTTGCAAAGGGCTTGCAAATGTTCAGAAACTGCAATGAGTTCACTGTAAAAATACAGAAATACAGATAAAAAAATCTGTAAAGAAAAAGATATTTTCTCTTCTTCTTACATTTTATAGTTTGCAGCGTTCAATTGAAGGCCCACAGCAGGCAGATAGTGGTATTATAGCACAGATCTTGTTGATGCCCAACTCCAGACTCCAACCAGCAATGTTTTGTTTGGGTTCATGTTCTTTTGATCTTGCATTTATAAAAGTTATGTATTTGTGAGCAAGTATAGAGTGTACATAAGAAACTGTGACTTGCCCTGACTCCTTCTCTCTAATTTGCCTCTCTGTTTAGGAAAAGGGCAATGTGGCTGTGATCTTCAACGTGGGCACAGACGACATAAACATTGAGGAGAAGTCTAAGTTTGTGAATGATGGAAAGTACCACGTGGTGAAGTTCACAAGGAGTGGGGGTAATGCCACGCTGCAGGTGGATGACCTGCCAGTCATTGAGCGGTACCCCACAGGTAAGAACCCTGCAGCTGTTATTCTTATTCATAAGCTCCAGGTATTTAGATAGGAGCTGTTATCCATCAGGCCTAGGTTTAGCACGACGGTGGCAGTTGTTTGGGAGATTTCTGTCAGTGTTTGTATTTGTGCTTTTATATTTCTTTTTTATGCTGATATGTATAATCATGCAGTAGTTCTCTACATTGTGCATCTGTCAGAAAATTGTTGATTTCTAGGGCCAAGTTCTGATTTGGGGATGCTTAAGCTGCTCAAAACCACAGGAACTTCAAGATTGTACCACCACTTTACCCAAAATATTCAGCCTCAACCTTTTTTGAGTTGTCACAGTTCCCCAATTCCTCTTTTTTCTAAAGAACACTTGAGGGACCAAGTGGCTTTAGATTCCAACAGAAGAGCTATAAAGTGAAATGGGATTGCAAACTATACCACACACAACCTCACAGACCTGTCTGACCTTTCATACATATGCAAAATAAGCATCATTCGAAATTAATAAGGCACTTTAAATGCAGGTATTTTGAGCTGTGCAGTACAGTTTCTCATTAGATTGAAAGGGATTTTTGCTAACGTTCTGTAAAGCTTGACCAATCTCACCACAGTAGCTGTGAAAGAATGCATTTGTGGGCGGAGCCTGGATAGGTCAGTTGCTACAGAATGGAAAGCTTTCCTCATTCATTCCAGTGCTACTCGTCTCCTAATCTGCAGCTCAATGTGCCTGCATACTGTTTGCAGTAACTTGATTGATGTGTCATCAAGCAACACATTCAACAACTTAACACCAAAAACGTCAGCCAGGTGCTTTCACTGTGTAGTGTAAAATCTCGAAGCCTGTCAGACAGTATTCACAACACGCACGCGAGAAGCCGCACTAAAAGTGCAGTGAACAGCAACTTATTTTTATGTATGAATGAGTGTTGACTGAAGATCGCTAAAATTGGGGTCAGTGGAGATGATGCAGTACAGGCCGATGTGTTTGCTTGTTGATATGAAAAAAAGATCAATAAAATATGGACTTCAACTGAAATTTGATGTTTCTCAAGTGAACAAACATTGGCGGTCCCAGTTTAACTCCTAGTGGACCTCCAGTTAGACCTTTTGCTTTCTATTTTGTTGAGTTTAAGAGTAAGAATCTAGCACACGTCCATGTACATTTCAATCACCCGAAAGCTTATTGCCTATAAGCAGTGATTATAGGAGTGATGGTTAGTCACTAGCAGTTGATATGGCATAGTGGGTAATACTGCTACCTTCCGCACAGCAGACTGGGGGTTAATTCCCATGCAAGCACACCAAGCTATAGCAATAAGAGTTCTTGGGCAAGACTCCTAACTCTACCACTCTACCTGCCTACCTCTGTGACATGATTAAACTGAAAGTCATTCTTGATAAGAGCATCTGTCAAATCTATAAATGTAATCTTTGCAGAAACCATGCTTTGAATACATTGTAGTTGACATGTATCTTTTAATTTAGATAAGAGCCTACTAATTAAGAGAATATGTAGCCCTCGGGCTGGTTGCACCAACAGGATTTGCGCATGGTCTTTCATAACTTTCTGGGTGAAATTTTAAGACCGTTGCAGAATTTTTGACTGGGGTTAAAATTTAAACGCTAGCTAGGGGCAGGCATAAAATCAGTTTTAGACTGTTTCTTGGTTAAGGTAATTGGTTTTAACAAGTTCATTCATCGCATTAGCACACCTGCTCTGAGCTGATTTTGTTATTCCTAGTCCTTCTTATCTTTTCTTCATTTTTCTTCCTTCAAAGTTCAATATCACAGTACTTTCCAAATATACCATGGTATCACGATATAAATTAATATGTATGTGTGCATTATTACATTTAATGCATGCTTTCTGAATTGTGATGGTAAAAAAATGGTTTAAAATTCTAAGACTTGTTTTATATAGGCTGTTTTGTTCTTTTTAGACTAACTAAACTGCTTGGCTGCAGGAACACCACTTTTATATTGGTAACAAAAAGCATTTTCAAAGTTTTTCATTATCACTGTATAATGTTAGGTGACAAGATGATTGTTGAAAATTTGGACTATACACTGGACTAAACACTAATGTGTTTTTTGAGAGCAACTCAATAAGTTTCTAACTGACACGTCATGCAGCAGTGCTTGGCCAAGCAGGTAACTACACTACCTTGCTCAAAAACTTTGAGAACCTGAGTACTCAATTTCCCCAAAACTTCCCATTTTGGATCTATTTTACTTAATTAAATCACTTCTGGAACCTTTGGCACTCAAACAATGGAACTGTGCTTTTTCCTTTTGCCATTGGTCCAGCGTTGAAGGTTCTAGTTTTATAGTTTTGGTACCTGCTCAAGATTGATACCAACAGGACATCATGGTCATTGAAAGATGCAACAACAAATTAGTGATTTTTTTTAGTCTTCCAGTTGATGATAAACTCACCAAGCACAAGAACAGTATATAGTTGGAATTATTACTATATAAAGAGTTAGCTATGGTGACATAAGCTACCTAGAAATCTTAACACTATTAGCATTTATTCTATTCTAGCACACAAGGTAGCTAATTAGCTGAATTAGACAATTTAGTATGGCAAAAAAAAATACTTAAAGGACAACTAAATTGTTACTGGTGGTTATTATAAGAGTCTCAAGCAGATGGAAAATGAACTACAGCTAGAACCCTAAGTTCTGTTGGTTTCTGTTTGGGTCAGTTGTTGTTTTTGAATGTGCATTGGAAAAATGGCCTAGTTCGTGCAACTAAAATCTCTGAAAAATGGTCTTGGCTGTGACCGACTTAGCAGGTAAGACTGTCTGGGATACAGCCTGTTGGTCCAACCAGCCCCTGCTGTGCAGTAATAGAGGAAACGAATGGATAGGAAATGGAAGACAGTTGGAGAGAGTACCTAAGTAATCCTCAAAATTACACACTTTCACTTCCACGGTGGCCACATTGTCCTGTTCATTCAGAGAAAAAGAGATGAGAATTTTGAAATACTGTGTAAAATCCAGTTGTGTTGCAATTTCTAATTGTAGTCTATGGACACAGTTTAAAAATGTACTAATCTATAAAGATATAGTACCATATACCATCTACTCCAACACATTTTTGTCAGGGTATCACGAAGGTGATTATAGCTGCTCATGTTGAGTCCACAAATATACCTGCACATATTGTGCTTTGAAGTCCTTCCAAAAGAACAGAATTATAACCTGCTCTACAATTAATATCATTTACATAATAAAGTGCTCTTGTGGCCTTGTAAGCTGCACAGAGCCTTATGGGATATGTTGAAACCAAGCCATGTCAAACCACCTTGGAAACACTGATCCTTGAAAAAAGCTATCCTATTTATATATTTAATGGCTGGAAATATATTTATAACTGAAGGTGGCTCGACATTTCCATTTCACCCATCTGTTTTCTAAGGAATTTAGTGTTCCCGCTACCTGATGAAGGTCCTGCACAGATTGAAGAGCTGTTGCTGGCTCAGAATAACCTCATTTCAGGAGAATAAGGCCATGTGTGGACTTTTTATAGCTATAATTGCTTTTTCAAACCGCTTGCTAGATGATTCCTGCTGGCGTTTTTTTTGCTAGTTCCATAATACTGTCATTAAAAGTAAATAGAAATCCTCAACAGCATCAGCAGTGCTGCTGTCTTTTTTGAAGAGCTGACTTTTTCTGTAGATGCTCCACAGTAACCTGGCTAAATTCATGTTAAAATGACTGATAAGATGCAGTTCTGTCCATTCAGGAAGAGAAAGTATTACAAACATCCAGTTTAAATTGTCTTAAATGTCCTTAGAGCTACAAGACAATATTCAAGTGTCATGCAGCCATATGCAGGTCATATAAAGACAGCAAGGTAGCATGGTATATGGACAGATATGGATTCTTCTAACCATACCTTCACCTATATTTGTTCTTAACTGACTACTCAAAACCTAAATAACCAAACAGAGAACATAGAATACAAGGTGGTGATTTTAACTGGATCACATTGAGAAGTTCTTAAATGATGGTCTGCACTCCAAGTCAAGACTTGGCCCTAACTTCTAAATGGCAATGCTTAGGTTTTCTTGGTTCCGTAGTCTTTTAACATGCCAAAAGGTTTTGACAAAAGCTTCAAAGAACCACAGTTATTATTTTCACTTTATTGGATGCCTACTAAGATGCAACAGGTTCATTTCCATCTCTGGCACTTCGGTTTGTTAATCATAATTTAATGAGTTTTGAGTAATCACACATTGGACATCTCAGTGGATCTATTTTAGGGCCTCTGTTGAATAGATGGTTCCTCTTGGATGTGAAATTCTTGACGTAAATAAAATGATCATGTATTTCCTGTGATGTTCAAGGACCACCGTGATGTTGGATGTATGTGTTTTTCTCACATATTCAGTCATTAATATAAACGTTATTAATTAGTAGCTACTGCACATAACACAGCATTGTGCAGCTCAGTGTCTTAAATGAACATGCAGTCTGAAGCTACTTGAACATCCACCAAAGGCAGACTTAATACACCGAAGGTTTGGAATCACTTGTCATATTAATATTTGCTGTTGCTTTATTCAGTAATAAGTTATACAGTGTAAACTGAAATACTACAAACTATAAGCTAGTCAGAAGATATTAAGATGTATTTGAAGGGGAGGTCTGCTAATTTCCCAATAATTCTGCACAGGTAAATAATTGATGTTAACAAAGTTATTTAGAGTGGTTTGATTTGAAATCCTCTGTTCCAGAGAACCTAAAAAATACATTCATGATGGAGAAGCCATCATCCTCAAAGGAAGCCTGTCTTTCAATTCACCCACTCATGTTTAGCAGGTTCTAGATTTTCCACCAGGGGGAGCTATTAGCACTAAATTAGTAGTGGGTGCTTTGCATCAATGACACAGTGTGTCCTTGTTTCCACTATTTTACCACTATTAACATTACATGAAAAAAACCTCTGAGGACACATGTCGGTTTACTGGTCATAAAATGTTTACTGGTAAATAAAAATG